CGACTCGCACACCTGGAAGATCTGCTCCATACGGAGCCCATTCCAAATCTGCCCCAACGCCTCGAAGAACGCCGGGAAAGATGTTGTTCCATTCCCATCGAACTCAAGATGGGGTGCGTGGGCGCACTTTTTGGAGAAGCCGCGGAGCAGCCATGTCATCTTTCGGCTCAACGTCTCAAGGGCATTGGGAGAGAGGTAGCGCCTGATCTGAATGACCGGCATCTCGCTACCGACGCACCAGTATGCTGCTGACTCGTCGATGGTAGGACCATCCCTTCCGGGAGGTGCACGCGCAGGCATTGCCTTGGGCGGCGCAGCTCGGGAAGGAGCAGGCAAGACCTTGTTCCCCAGGTCGGTGACGTCTTCGCTGAGATCGATGAGGGTCTTGTCCTGGCGAACCCTCTCTCTGGTCTGATGCAAGATCTCTTCCACGGAGGAATCCGGCTCGTTGATGGGGAGGAGCGGTTCACACGCAATGTCCGGATCGTCAGGATCATTGATGACAATGGTGTCGATGCCGCGCTCCTTCTCAATCTCGACGGCTTGCTCATCATCGAGCTGGCCTTCAACCGAGTCGAGTGCCTCCATCAACCTCCTCACACGAGGGTTGTTCGCGTCAAAGAGGATCACCTCGTCGTCATCGCCGCCAGACCCGTCAGGGTTGAGGTAAGCCCGGTCGTCCTCGGTGATAGGGACAGCACCCATGTCCGGGTGGTCTTCGTCCGAGGGGTTTGTAGCCTTCCGGACAACATTCTGGGCGACAATGATCTCCTCGCTTTGATCTCTCGACGTAGGCGCCCGCCACGCGAAGTCTTCAATCCTTGGCTTCACCATGTCGGTGCACGGTGGGACCGTAAGGGACATCTCCGGCTGCGCCAAGTGGAAGTGATTGTTGAAGATCTGGCTTCGCTGATTTGCAAGGAAGTCCTCCCGCATCATGAAGATCTGCCGACCCGTCAGGGTGGTGGAGACAAGCGCTCGCCACCAATCCGTGGCAGCTTGAAAGTTGTCTTGCGTGGCAACCATGCGGTACTTGTCGTAACGAACCTTGCCATAAAGAAGCGCGTAAGGGTCGACGACCCTCACGCCGTTTGCGACCAGGTAGTCGGTGTGCTTCTTCATCTCCCTGTCATACTCCCAATCCAGCCCGTAGGCCTGGGCGACAGTGCCAGCGACAACGGTCAACGACCTGACACACTCATGTCCAGCCAACGCAACAACCTTCCGGAGTGCGGTTTCCACCTTGGCCAACTGTTTGACGGGCCAGTGCTCCGCTCTGCGGATTTGCTCTTCGGTCTGTTTAATCCAGGGCGACACAAGGTGCCACGTGTAGCCCCGGTACCCATACGGGCCATGGACGTCGTTCCCCGCCCAACTGATGAAAATATCCAACCCGTCAGGGTGGTGGATCCTCAAGAAATCCTCCACGATCTGGGTGAGGAGAGTGAGGTCCTTGCCCCATTCCATCATGACGTTGACTTCCGTCACGCGAGGGTCATGCGACAGAACATCCCGAAGTGGACCCTGGAATGTCATCTTGTTGATAGCACGACCGCCCTTGTGCGTGCACAAGGCGAGAGAGGAGTCGCCGATGATGAGAACTTGGGATTTCATCGTTGGCGGCGGCGGAACGCGTTCAAAAGCCGGGGTGTAGAAACCCCCCAGGAGCTGTACCACGTCCGTGTGGAGGGGTCGGTCAGAAAGGCCGTGCTCCATCTCGGTGACGCGGTAGCACAAATCATATGGCTTTGAGACGTCAAACGCACTCTGAGCCCTTGGCCCCCATCCCACGACAGCCATGTCGAAGATGAGGTCGAGCATAGTTTGCGTCCATCCCGCCAGGGAGGAGTCATGTACCGTTTTGGACGGCACGTCGTCAGTGCTGTAGGCCCTGACGCCGTAGATCCGGTACCACCTCATAGATTGTGGTCCACGGCACACTTGGATACCCCTTCCGGAGATCGAGCCACTGTTGCACAGGGATGACACGAAGAAACAAGTCATCGGGACTGTCCGCCTCCGTGGGCTCCCGGAAATTGCGCACTGCATCATTCCACCACGCTGGTGATGAAAGTCCTGCCAAGGCGTCAGCCAGGCGATCCGCATCAGTAGCGGCGGCCGACATTTCTTGGATGCGAGCAGCACGCTCCTCTGCGCTGAGAATCTCAACTGCACGAGATGCCATTCCTTCAGAAAGACAAGGAGGAGATTCGAGGCGAGGATTGCTGGGGAGCTTGATTGCTGGAGCGGCTACGTATGTGCAAGGAGTCCTGCTCATGTTTTCCTGAAACGCCTTGTGAATTAGATCAACCATGCGCAAGCAGTACTCTTCAGAGCTGCGATTGCACTTGCCATGCACGTGCCCTCCAGTGCAACACTTGTCACGGAATGCAACATACAAGGAATCCAAGGTAGTAGCAATAGTCCATGGTTTCTTGACGGATTCACCCTTTTCGTTGCGAAGACCGAAACGACAACCGTCGAAGTGGGCCTTCCGAATGGGTTTCCCCTCGATCCATTTGACAATCCGAGTCCATTTCCAATACTCGCAGTCCTTTGGCCATTCAATGGCATAGTCGACTAGCAGCCGATCGAGGCCATGGGACAGGTCGACAAATGATGCCCAAAGCTTGGTGAATTTCCTCCGGGCCTCGAAGACGGCGCTTCGGTTCTTGTCGACGGCAAGATTAAGGCGAGCCCATTGCGAACCCCCCGTACAAGGAAGACTAGCCCAAACGAGGATACGAAGACCGTCCTTGTGGGCCTCCTTTGCGATGGACAAAACTTCCCGTCGGGTTTTGGGATCGTTCAGGTTCATAGACTCAGTAATGCGAACGACCTTGCAGTCCTTATATTTGTTAATAGCAAGATTACCAATTAGTGAGTCGTCACCGCAACACACTTCAATGATCAACCGCTTGTGCAAAGGAGGAGACCTCTGCGTCAGCAGGGTGGATCCAGGAGTGGTGGCGGCCGCGCCAGATTTCCTCACATCAAGCTTGAGGGGAGATATGGCCATAAGTGCAAGAGCACGCGACCACTTCTCAGCATTGGTGAATGGCTTAGTGAGGATATCGGCTGCTTGCAACAAAGTACTGATGTACGCAATGTCATAGTGCTTTCTTCTGAACTGTTCAGAAATCCATCCCAAATTAATCCTCTGCGTTTTGTCAGCATGACGAAAGGCTGGTGACTTACCTGACTCAAGGATTCTGATTGTGGCTTGGTTGTCCTCAAGCACGACAGGCTGAATGGAATGAGGAACCGTAACCACAAGTCCTATGTCCTTGTCTGAACCCTTGGGTGCAAGCTCTTCCGAGGACCGACCCCCCGTATTCCTGATGCCTTCAATCTCGCGTGCACGAAAGCCTCCGCGTCAGCGTGGCGTCTGTAGTCCATTGTGGACCTGCGGTAAACGATTACACACGCTTCGGCTTTAGGATCAACGGGTCTATCCCTTTTCTTAAGTTCTTCCCAGGCAACAGCTTCCTCAACTTGAACCCAAGTACCCTTTAACTTAACCCAAACGTCGCGCAGTGGATGAGTGTTCATCTCAACTGGTTCAGGCAGGGATGAAAGGTTGGTGAGCAGTTCGACCACTCTACCATCAATGAGGTGCGAAGTGCCCAGGTAAGTAACTCCTTGGATAAGGGAATCCGGGTGGTTAGAGAGGAGTTTATTGGGAACATCACCCTTCCGGGGAGTGTGCTTAGGTTTTGTGCTGCGCTCCAAAGCGCGGAAGAAGGAAGACCTAATGCACGCAACGAAACATTTGCACACACAACCTCGGCCTCAGTGGAACTAAGGGCAATGCTGGTCTGCTTCTTACTGAAAGCTGCAAGGGGGAAGTACGTGTTAGGACCAACAAGGAAGCCTCCTGAGGTGCTTTTGCTGTCATGCTCACCGGCATGGTCACTGTCGGCAAACAGCCACAGCTTGCAAGCGCTAATGTCGTCACCTATGAATCCGCGCATGCGGTACTCCAATGTAGACGCGACATAGCACATCAAGCGATGCAAGGCTTTATCGCACTCAACAGACCACTTGGTGACTCGACTGGCTAATCCCTGAACTGCGCGCAGCAGATCGTACCTTGCCATCCTTGCTGCGAACAACAGCTTCATGAGAATGCGGCTTGCTATGGGAGCAAGCTGTCCGCGAGGTTCGGCCTCGGTGCCAACCGGGCGAGCGATCTTGTCGTCATGGAAGGGCGTAGCAACCTTTCGCAGGTGTTGGAATTGTGGGCCTGCGAGCTTCTTGTACTTATCAATAGCTTGCTGCAAAAAGGAACTCATGTCGTACACAACTTCCTTAACACCCTTAGTCACGCAACCCTTGTTGTCGCTCAGTTGATTGACATCGAAGAATGCTTTCTTCCTCGCTTCTTTCTTAGCTTCGTTCTTGTCCCTGATCTTCTTAACTGCAGCAAGAGCTGACGCATGATCGTGCTTATCCGAAAGAAGATAGGTGGCACCAACCCATAATTTAGACCTCTTGCCCCGACCGGAAGGATGATCCCATGATTGCTCGATAAGCTCATCATCATCAATGGACCTCACTTCCGTGAGTCGGTGTTGACCAACGGCGCAAAGCTTGGCTTCAGAGGCCGGCAGGGCATAGAGTGCACGCCTGGGCTGCACATGGTGACGCACCAAGACGCCTTCTTCGGGATGGAATTCAGTGTAGTCCGCACGCACGACTGCAGCGGCAGTCTCCTTGGCAGCGGGATCACGAACGTTCTTGTCAAAGACGTGAGCAAAAGGATGATCAGAATGCTTAAGGTTTGTGCTCTTAGAGATGTGCTCGCAACCCAAGTAACGACCTATGGGAGAGGGGGAGTCCATGTCAATTTTCGAACTGATCAACTCCCACCCTTTCTGCATGTTGGCTTTAGGTCCGGCCATCTTAAAGTCATCTACATAGACTGCAAGCAGAAGGCGTAGCTGGGGGTGGAAGAAAACTGAAGGCCATGCAGCCGGGAACACAAGCTGAAACCCGACCTCGCCTAACATCTTTTCACAGCGTAACTCCCAGAAACCCCCGCTATCAGGATGACCGTAGAGTGCCAGCGTCAGCCGCACGACAGGATCTTTGTACTTTCCCTTCCACTCTGAAGGCCATCGGTCAGGCGGAAGCCTAACCCATGTTTCCTTTCCCTTGAGCGTGGTTTGGGTGTATGCTTGTTTGCCGTCGGCCTGCTGACAGTCGTTGCCAGGTGCGTGCCCATAGGCGTCAAGCGCTTTCCCAGCCTCCATCGTGGCGGGACTGGATCCGAGCTCACTGAAAAGAGCCTGATCACTATTTTCATCTTTGACGTTGTTCCCTTGGAACACAGTTCGACCCTTGAATTTTCGTTGTGGGTCGCCTTTGGGAAGCTCACTTCCCTTTTCTACGCAGATCTCGAAAACTTTTCCAACATGAACCTTTTTCCCCTTTTTGATGGCTTCGTCACTGACGTCTTTCCATTCCCGAACAGATCCCATGTCCCAGGCTTTCTTAACCATTAATTTGTTCCATTCGACATCAAGGGCAGCCTGGGCCTTCGGGTCCTCGAGGATTTCTCTGCGACCGACAGGCCTTGCGACAAGAGCAAAAAGCTCTCGTACCTCGTCCTCTGAGACAGGAAGGTTGCTGGAAATCTTTTCACGATGCTCGGGCTCATGAGGTACAGTAGGCATGGCAGGGAATGCATCCTTACCATCTCCGTCAGGAGCGGGACTGTGGATTCTGTCCAGAATGAACTCAGTCTTGCCGATCCACTTGAAACTGGTCTTTTTGTTCCGCTTCCTAACGTTCTTCCAATCATCGTCCTCATGGATGACATCAACACCACCTACGGGAATGATAGTCGTACTCCGTTGCTTAGAGATGCGCGATAGTTCAATCGGACAATCTGTGATATCCGGTGAGAACATTTCTCTTCTGGGAACATAATGATAGCGTATTAGCTTACATTCGTTCAGTCGGACCTCCCAGTGGTCCTTGCTCGCAGCAGGTGCTGCGGCGGCGGCGGCAGAGGAGCTACCGGCTGAACCCTCGGTAGGAGTCTCCATATCACGCAATGCTTGCTCGCGTGCCTCATCAACAATGGCCTTCTCCTTCTGTTTCTTGGACATGTTGACCCAAAGGTATGAGGGAATGGATTCGGGCTTCTTAGAACCTCTGGTGCCTCCATACTTTCTACCAAGAGTACCCCCCGAATCATAGTACCGACCCCCTTCAGGGAGATCAATTTCTTTCCCCGTCTTAGGATCAAGTACCTTCTTGGGCGGCTCGACCTCTCGGTCTGCGGGTGCAGGCGGTTGCTCATCGGCAGCTTCAGCGTCCTGATTGGTGAGCGATTGACTGACAGGTCCTTCAGTAGCATCTGATGCGAGACCTGCTTGAACCCTTTCATACCTCTCACGCATGGGAAAAACAATCTTACCATCAGTGAGCTTGTACTGCGATGCAATAACTGGCTTCAGGCACTCGTGGAAATCATGCTTGTTCAGCTGCTTGAGATGAATTGCAAAGACCTCCTTGCGCCATTTCATACCAGGCTGGAACTTGTATCCCATAAAAATCGCAGGCTCACTGGTAGGCTCGAATCTGTCTCTACCCTTGCGCTGGGCTTTCGGACCAACCCAAACGTCGATCCTACAACCGAAAGGAAGGGGTTCTTCAGGAAATGCAACACCAAAACGCTTGAACCAAGGAGTATACTCTTTGCCCCCCGGATTGCTGATGTTGTAGGCAGTGCATGCATGCTCAAGGGCAAACGGCCAGTAAACCTGCGAAATGCCAGCTTGAATGAGATTGGTGCGAGTGCCCTCAGTGGTGGCTCGCACAGCACGCTCAGCAACAGCGTTGGACTGATGGATATAAGCCTTAGAGAGCTCATGGCGCCAGCCGAGCGTTTTGGCCGCAGCCTCAAGTTCCCTAGACTTATCGCTGTAGAAAGTCTCCACATTGTCCTTCGCGGATGCGAAGTGCTGGAGCGCCACGAGGCATTCGTCTTCCGACTTCAATGCAGCAGGGTATGCATACATGAAACAAGTGGCAACATCCTTAACCACAAGTGCAAGACGCGAATCCTCAATGACGGTTTGCTTGTCCCTGTGCAAGATCAGATGATCCGCGGTCACATGGTCGCCAAAAACCTCTGCTTCGATAGTACTGGTTTCCTTCTTGTAAGAAGGAGGCTTGTACATCTTAGCTCGTTGGCATATTTGGCAATAAGGGTTCTTGGGGACATGAGTCATGAGGTGTTCACGGGTTGTTGATTCTTTGATCAGAGCTTCTTTGCTCCGTCTACGAGCTCTACGTTCAGGTGCTTCAGGATCGTCACTTGATGCTGCTTCCCCATCGGGGGCATCGGCCGCTGCCGGGGCAGGAGGACCAATGTCCGGTTCAGCACGCACCTCGTCAGAGGGCGGAGCAGGGCGAGAACCATCTAGAATGGCTCGCACCCGTGCCGCACCTTCGGACCTGAGGAGACCAAAGTCTCGAACACCATCCCTGGGCTCGGATTTTGCTTTTGGTTCAGGCTTAGGCTTAGCTTTAAGTTTTACTGTAGGCTTGGTGCGGTCCGGCAAAGGCCGGACAGGCGTGTCTTCCTCCATCAGTTCCCTGAGAGTTCTTTCGTCAGGATCATCGGCGGATGCCGGCGCAATAGGGACCCTCTTGTGAGGAATAACAAACCCACAACCTCGAAGCTTCGCAACGTCCTGGTTATCAAGTTGGTAAACTGACCTACACGTGTAGGCAGTAATGCTCCAACGTTCACCCTTCCAAGGTCTTACGGAATGGGATGTCTTCGGGTCAAAAACGACAATCTTGTTGTGACTGTCATGGACCATCCCAGGGAGTTTGGTGCCTACAGAATCCTTGACCTCTAGATAATTTTTATCGGTTTTCATAGCGTTCGGGTCATGAATCCAAAGGCCACCATTGGAAAACTCTCCCACGGCAATCGTAACGTTGAGATGGTCTTTGTGATTGTTCACATCCTTATGGACCTTGATAGGCGAGTTCTGGTTGATACAGAGTGAGGAACAGCTCTCCAACTCCGCGCCTCTTTTGCGAAGAAATGCAATGAGATACTTGATAGTATTAACACGGCGTCCAGTTCTCTTGGTTACACCATGAAACCCTCCATGTGCGAAGGCACCAAGTATCACATACTTCTCTTTGCTATTGCCATGTTTCTCTCCTAGTGCTTTTCTTCTACTCCTACCTGCTCCGAAGTTGACGGTGCGTAAGAGATCCACGCATGATCGCTCCGAGAAGTCGTGCTTCTCCAGAAGCTGCAAAGCAATCTCTTCAGAGCTGCGATCAGGCATTTCACCTCTGGCAACCGACTGAATCTCATCGGACTTAGATTCACGCGCAGGGCAGGCAGTGCCCTCCTTCCACGATTTGAGGAAAGGCACGTTATCTCGAACGTCAAGGAAAACTCTTTCACCCTCAGGAGTTTTCAAGTAAGGGCGAGTACAGGCTCTCCAAATGAAATCGAAACCTTGCTCCATGCAACGCTGTCCTATGGAGAGGACTGAAGGAGTGTCGGGCAGCACATAAGGCTTGGCAGAAATAGCAATCGACGGAACGTCGACATCACATTGCTTGTCAGCGGAGCTGGGACCGTTCGCGGTCATGATGTTGATTGGCTGTTCAGACTCATAAGCCTTCAAATGCTGAAGATCTCTTTCAGCGATTAGGTCTTGTGCACTCCCGGTGTCGCCAATCCATTCAAGGTTAAGCATCTTGGAGGACCCTTTAGTCTTAGCAGGGCACGACATTCTAAGACCCTTTGGGATACAGTGATTACATCCAATCTCCGAATCACACTCCCAGCGGCAGGCCGGAACATCGTCCTTGGTAGAGATGGAAGCTTTCAGCATCTTCGCTGACATCTGGGCCTCTCGGATGGAGTCTGCTCTGGTTTCTGGGACAAAATCCAAAGGCTTTTCTCCTCGATGCTTACGGTTGGTGGGCGATATTGGAGTGAACCTCGCGTTGGGATCACTAACAGGAATGTTAAGGTAATCGACTTCAGAGCTGAAATTTACCGCTGGTAGCGCCAGACTATAGGGATACGTGCAATTGGTGATCTGGTCCGTCCACTCCTTCCGGAGGGAGAAAGCATCGGCTTGGGTGGCCGAACCAGCAACAAGAGCACTGAGGAGACACACAGCAGCAGGGATACCGCCTGAAGGCTTCTTTCTGCCTGAGCCCTTCGAGTTCTTGGAGCCTTGACTTCCTTGGAATTCCTGCTACCCTTAGAACCCTTGGAGCTAGAGCGAGAAGACTTGCGATCTTTCTTCTTCTTGCGGTCCTTCTTCTTCCCTTTGCCTTTTGACCCCTTCCCACTGGTTTCGGAAGGCGCAGCTGCACCTGGCTTGCCTGTATGGAGAAAATTACAGTTCTCCCCCCGATCGCAACGTCCTTGCTTGTAGAACTTGCAGATCTTAGGCTTACCACCGGGGCTTGCAGAGCTTGCTCGTGAGCTAGCCGGCGTAGCGGAGCGTCCGCGTCCCTTGACCGGAGTCTGGTGCTTGTACTTACACTGGTCACCTTTGGTGCAGGAACCATTACGGACCCATGAAATGCAGAAACCTTTAGGAACCCTCTTAGGTGCAGGTGCAGTGGGCACAGCAGGACTGCCCGTCTGTCGAGCCATCCGTTCCCGGTTGCGTTCAAGGCGCTTCCTGTTGAGGTGCGCATTAGCAGCATCATACAGGAAACTGTAGGACCGTTCTTTGGAACCTTCAAGAGCTCTTTCATAGATGTTGATGTCATGCGAGAGAGCTTTGACCTTCTTGACCTGTCTGTGAAATAGTGGTTCGAGGAATGATGCTTCAGGGGTTTTGGGAATCCCCGACAACACCGTATCCCAATTTCGCATGAAGGTGAGAAGATTCTCATTGAGTAACGTGACTGAAAGCAAATCTTCCATGTCATACACCGCCCCATGCTGAGCGTTCGTCGCAAAGTAGTTGTGAATCCTGAAGAGAATCTGCCTTCCTCTAACTGGGCGTCCGGCGTTGGCCTCTGTTTCTTTGAAGGTGTCCACCTGACGTGCAAAGTCGCCTTCCAGGATGTTTGACAGAGCTGAAAGGATCTTAGCATCAAGGGTGGTGAATCCTTCCGGATCACGAAGGGTTTCCTCCTTCATATCGGCTTCCCAAACCCTAGACAACCACTCGAAAGCTTTGTCGGGCTTATCAGATGCAGCTACAACAGCGTCACGAACTCTGATGCGCCAATTGCGATAGCTCTCGGGCTGAGGAAACTTTGGGACTAAAACCTTCTCAGCTTCCTTGGTTTTGGGAGCCTTATCCGATGACTCGGCTTTGTCGGCATCTTTGTCATTTGAACCACCTTTCATCATCTTCTTGAAAAACCTCTTCATCTCTTTCGGTGATATCGCCGAAGATGAGGAAGAATCAGAGGACGAAGATGAGTCCCTCTTTTTCTTCTTCTTCTTCTTCTTCTTCTTCTTTTTGTCGTCCTTCTTTTTCTTCTTGTCTCCATCATCATCATCATCATCGTCATCATCTGGGTCACCTGGCTTGCCTTTGCCTTGGCCAGGCGGTGTGTCGAGGCGATGCACCTGTGGGAGACCGGGCGGTGGCCCGCTAGGACCAGGGTTGCCTTCCGGCTCCCGATGATGGGGCGAATCGGTCTGACTGGCAGCCTTCTGTAGCATTTCTTGAGCTTGAAGCAACTTAGCACGAAGATCAGAGTTCTCGCTCGTGAGTGCTGAGCGGTGCTCGGCTTCAGAATTGAAGCGTCCGAGCATAGCATTGAATTCAACCTTCATGCTCTCAACCTGTTCGGATAGCCTCGCATTGTGAATGGCGTACTCACTCTGAACATTGTGAGAAAGTCTCTCAAGCTTGGAGTACTCGGCATCAGCGTAGGCTTCCGCCTCGCAAAGACGCTTGTGGAGCCCAACGGCTTCAGTCCTTGCTCTGGCAAGAGCAGCAGAATGCTGATCAATGATACCTTGATCATTGCTTGACTTAGTGGCGGCTTCACTCTCAAGCTGCTTAAGATTGTTCTGAAGGACGACATACTCATGACGCAATTGTGCCACCTTGGATGTGGCTTGGGAACTGAGCATGTTGATTTCCTCCCTATGAGCCTCCCCTATGGCTCCTACAATTTCCCTATGGCGCGCCTCTGCGGCCATGGCAACGGCTGGCCCAGTGTCGGCGTTGACGTGAATGTCAACCTGGCTCAGCGCCAATTGC